ACCCCAGGAGGTGAAAGACAAAAGCCCCTGCAGAACCAGCAACTCTACCATTGTACCCCACCATTACAGACACCCAAAACTGCAAATCCCTGCATGGAGCACACATGGTCAGTACGCCAGGGGCTGACCCTTGCCTGGGCATGCCTCCTGTCACTAGGGTCACACAAGGTCTGCCCCTATAAAAAGAGGCAGTGAAGACAGACCCAGTGGGACGCCCCCTCCATCTGGACCAGCACCATGCCACATCACCTATCCACCCAGAGGCCCTGCTGGTGACCCCCCTCTGGACAACATCTACTGGACAAGGACCCCTTTCCAGCCTGGATAGGTAGATATTCCCTGCACACCTCATCCTAAAATTTGGACTCTCTCTCTCTCTCCCTCCCCCTGGACTTCAGTCCCTGTACCAAGCCTCTCTAACCCCTGCTGCCACTGTGTGTGTATGGGTGTGGGTGTGTGGGTGCAAGGAAACCAATAAGACATTGTGTCACCATCTCCCCTGTTCAATTAAACCACTGTCATTTGCAACCCCGAGTTGGGTCATGTTTTACTGAATCTCAGTCCCTTCCTTAGCTTAAATTCCAGCCTCATTCTCTCTCTCGCTCTCTCTCAGCTCCAGCCCCTGACCCCTCTCCACTAGTTTCCCAATCTCCTCTCAATTCCTACTGCCTTTTCCCTGTGACTTTCTGCTGCCTTTCTCTGCTTTCCCACTGCCCCAGTCTCTCCTGCCACTTTTCCTGTGATTTTCTGCTGTCCTCAGGCTTCCCCCGCACCTTCTGTAGTCATTCCCCCTCCCCCACAGCTTCCCAGCTCCTTGTGGCTGTCCTGCAATTTTCTCCAGCTCCCAGCACCTACTGCCGCTCCCTGCAACTTCTCTAGCTGCCCCGGAGCCATCCTCTGGCTCCCCACATTCAGAGCCCCTCTTTAACACCCACACTTTCCCTTAGTCCTATTTTCCCTCTCCCCACCTACCTTTTTAGCTCCCCCATAGCTCTGGCTCCAGTCCTAGCCTCTGTGCTGGCATCGCTTCCCCATTCTGCAGGCTGTGGGCATTGTCTTTTAATCAATTAAGCTCAATTAACCTCAATTGATTAAAGTTACCCCTGAGCCTCAGTTCTTCAGTCTAGGCCCGTCTAGTCTACAGGTTCTAATCCTGGTCCCAGTGACTTTCACTCCCAGCAACTTTCACTCCCTACACTTCTGCTTTCTTACCTTAACCTTTCCCCAGGTATCCCAAGTACACCAAGCACGTACATACATACATACACATCACAACACCCAACTTAGGAACTCACCTGTGTGTATGTGTAGGGGGGTGGTATGCATGTGAATTAGTGAATACACATATATATACACATATGTAGATATCATTGTGTGTGTGGTATATGAATGAGTAATTCATGTATGTGTATTAGATGTGCAGGTGTTGGTAACTGATTCTGTCTAAATTTGGTGTGTGTAGCATATATGAACTTAAACTGGTGATAGGTGTGCATGAACCTAGACTGGTTATTTTGAACGTGTGCATATCTAAGTTGCTAGTGTGAGTGTATATGCCTAGTAGGGGTGTCTGCACCTAGTGAGTGTATGTGTGCTTAATTGATTTTTATGTGTGCATGTGCAATTGTACACCACGCCCTCCTGACTAACAATGCAATATTGAGATCCTGAGCATTGGCCTGACCCCTCAAGGAAACAATGGGGATCTTATCAAAGGTTTTTTGGCAGTCCAGATATATGGTGTCAGCTGAATCACCCTGATTTACCTGCTTTTTGACATCCTCAAAGAACTGTAGCTGATTGGTAAGGCATGATTTCTCTTTGACAAAACCATGTTGATTCCTTCCCAGCAAGTCATGCTCATCCATATGCCAAACAATTATATTTTTATTATTGTTTCTACCAGTTTTCCAGAAACAGAAGTTATACTCACTGGCCTGTAGTTTCTGGGTCCCCTCCAGAGCCTTTTATAAATATGGGAATCACATTGGCAGCCCTCCAGTCCTCTGGTACCAAGGCTGTTTTTAGTGCTGGGTTGCATACTAAGTAGAGCATATTTATACATCTGAAATAATTTTAGGAGAACAAAGTCCAAAATCAGATTGGATAGAAGAATTGGAAGGATTTTTATCCTTCAATGCTCACATGCAACTTCAGAACATTTCTTTACATTTCCCCCAAACATGCTATTTAATGAAAGGAAATCTAACAGTGGGACTGAGAATATTTTGATATAGAGGCACTGTTTTAAATCATCTTGAAAGGTACCAGCCTGAAGTTGAAGGCAGGTGGATAAAAACAGGAATGTCAGGAGGTTAAATACAAAGATCAACTAGGGGAGAAGGTGATCCTGTAACTACAGGACTAGACTGGGATTTAAAAGATCCCTGGACTCTGCCACTGATTTCCTGTTTGACTCATTGTGACCACTGGCGTTGATTTCAATTAGAGATTGCTCAGTACTTCCAAAAAAGAGGGGGGGGGGTGTCTTGAATGAACCTCTCTGTGCCTCAAGTAGCTAAAAATTATAATTTTATTTGTCTGTCTTTGCTATCTAGTTTGTAAACTGCTTAAGCAGGAAAAACAGCTTTGTGCAATATGTCTATAGAACATCTAGCACAACATGGCCATTGATTGGCAATAGATTGGCAAGCATTAGCAAAACCATCATCCACCCTTCCTGAACCAAGGGCAGTGCCCAGTGCAGAAAGCAGTCCTTTTGTCTCATGTTGCAGCAAGGGAAGCTTAGGTTAGATGATTCTTCATTCTCTGCATTTGCAGCTTTGTGCCCCTTCTTTCTTGGGGTGGGGCAGACTGCTTTGCCATCCCTACTAGGGTTTTGCTTGGTGTTTCTCATATAGCCCCTTCATTTCCTTGAACCATTTGGAATTCCCAGTGCCAGTATTACTATGAATATGCCAACAGCTGCACAGTCCATGAGATAAGGAACAGGTACAGGGCTCAGGATTCAGACTAGAGAAATGTAAATGATTTTTTTCTGGTTGGGTTGTTTAATGCAATTACTTCAATATACAATATCCTTTTTCCAATTATTAACAGCACTATGCAATGATTTTCAAGCTCACTCTGTAACCATATGCTGATTAATTGAAGACTGTACTGATCTGTATGAATTTCCCCCCTTTTAATCTAAAAAAATATCAAGGAAAGACACTAAACAGAAGCATAAAAATGTGACTTGTAGTAGCACAGCTCTGTGTATGTATGCAATAATTTATGTCATCAATCTTTATTCCATAGGTGTCAAACAGCACTTGCTCCCACCTGAAAATAATTATCATTCCTTAACATTACCATAGTCAAGCTGATTAGCATATACAGCACCCCTTCTGGCTGATTGTCAGAGCAGCACAGACGTTGCCTTTAGAGAGAGCATTTCATCTACCTCTGCAATTTGAGAGAAGGGATTTCCTGTGGCTAAAAAAAGACAGTTGTAAATTACTGGTGCCAGAAAAAAGAGAGGCAAGGGGAAGCAAATAAAGTCCCAAAGCTTAGAAACTTGACTGGGATCCTCCTACCCTATGTCACTTTGCAAAAGATGCCTCAAAGCTCAACTGGATGGCTTTAGTTCAGGTGCCTCCTACAAAAGTTTGGCCCAAACAGTTTATTATCTCTGTTCGGTTGCATTACTCTATGTATTACAGCATGGCAGGTAAAGTTACTACTGATGAACAACATCTGCAGCATCCAAGGATAAATATGACCTAATCTGAGGCAGATCATTCAGACCCTGAGTTACTGTACCCCGCTGCCAGAAATCTAATCCCTGCTTCATAATGGGTCACAATAGATTTAGGTCATGAATGCTAGGAAAATGATGCAGATTTTTACTACTTTACTATTTCTATTTTCTCCTCAGATCTCAATTGCTCCCTAAAATATGAATAGCCTATAAAAGGCTTATTTAAGCAAATACACTTGAAGAACCAAAAGGAGCACTTTCATTGCTATTACACTACACACACACTATCTAAGCAAAATTATTGGACCTAAATACAACATAGAAACTTATACGATATGTATACACACTCCATTCTTCCCCCTCTACATAGAAAGACAAGTCTTCACCCTTCAGTTATCCAAAGTTTTAATTGCTGCCCATGTCACACACTGTGCTTCCTAATTTTCAGAAAGTACATTCCACTGGAACTATACATAGTGCCAAAATGATCTGTACCACTGAGCAATTTAATAAGTAGTAGAAATGTAAAATAAATCCTCACAAAAGCATCCTTTAGTGCTAAAACTGTATTTCTAAACTGCCTTGCCCTACTTCTGTTTGAATTGTGTAAATCTTTGCATAAGATACTGATTTAAAATCAACATAGGCTTTGGTTTTAAGATGCCTGGGTTGCATTATTTTAAACCAGATAGTATTCAACATGGCTCAGTAGCCTAATTTCATAACTATCCCTCTATGGGCAATTTCTGCCTGGTTTTTCTGCTGGCTAAAGAAAAGAAAGGAAGCCATGTTTGCAGATCTGAAACCTGAGAGTTTAAAGGGACTTGGGATTGTAGGCACGGTAAGGGATCTGTGAGTGCTCAGTGCTTTCCAAGGTCCTGCCCTTTTAAGGGGTCACTAGTCAGTTTTGAAAATCATGGCCATAAACTATAGAAGGCCAGAAAGCAAACTCGGTATAAATTATCCTAACCTTGACTGCAACAGTGGCCACTGATAAGAAGCTACCTCTTACTGGGCAAGAGGGACAGCTCGGCCTGGCTAGCAAAACTATGCTTTCTTTTTGAGTTGGTGAGAATACAGGGTATCCAAACAGAATATGAGACTGAATTAGAAATAAAAGTGTGTTCAACCAGCTAAAGAAAGCGCACACAGATCAAGCAGAGGCAACTCACAGAACTCATAAGGTAACACTCTCCTATGTTAATATTCATTTCAATTAGATTATATTTCAACTATAGTCAGTTTTCCTTATGTTACTGAAACATTAAGTTCCATGAGGGAAGGCAATTGGGAAAGGATATAGATGGGAGCAAAAGTTCTTGTCTGCTAATCTCTTCAGCTAATCACAAAACATCCAGGTTCTTGGCATGTTTTTAGTGGGGATTAGTCCCTGGTTTAAAGGTCGAAAAGAAAAAAAAAATAAATTCATGAGTTTTCACTTCATCAAGCACTATTCCTAGCTGTGATTGCATTCAGATGTCAAATCCAGCTGCATCCAGATGTCAAATCCAATAAGAGTATCAATCACATCTGATACTCTTCCTGATCTAGTTTTACTAAGCACTTGTTAGGGATGACCAGGACACACACACCAGCTACTAACTTGGACATGAAAATGCTCAGAAATGAAAGATTTTGCATAGCTTTTCAGTGATATTGGCCCACCTCAGAGTACTAGACATAGGCAAAGATTTTTAAAAGGAGTAACAATTCTGTAAGCCTCAAATTTTGGAATCTGGCTTGAAAGAACTGAAAATCAGTTGTAATCTAGAGAGTGAGCAAGTGAGCAGAGAGACCTTGCTTCACATTGTCTGAAATACAGCCATTTTTTAGAGTGAAATGCAGTAGCCCCATTCCATGTTAAAGATATTGAGGGCCTATTAGTATTTCTCAGCACTAACAGTGATGCACAAAATGAACCAAAGGCAGGAAAGGAATTACTTAAGCTTTTATTTATTTTGTTGTTGTTTTTGTTGTTCCCTCCCTTATGTTTGCAGATACAGTTTCATAAGATGCTCTGTTTTTAACAAAAACTTTTGAGTAACAAATACATGTATTGGTAAAGCCTCTTTAGATCCACCATGCCATTTTCAGAGGGGGAGTGTTCCTGGAAAATTCATCTCAGATGAATCAGTGTAGATGACAGCATGCAGGAATGAATGCCATGCATTGATAATACAGGGATGCTATAAATCAGGCACTCAAAGTACTAAACCTTTAAACAGACTGCTCCCAGCATAATTCCAGCACCTTTGCTAAAGGCCAGAAAATATCATAAATGCTGTCTCTCTCATGTAGGCCACAAGGTTTTCTATTATGGGCCTGCAGACAGTGACACCTTTACTATTCTTCCCATCCCCTGCCACATTTTTAAAGGATGCTAATGGAAGATGTGGTACTCTTAAAGCGTCTGGTTTGTTTGTTTATGGGGGGGGTCTTTTGTTGGTTTATGGGTTTTTTTAATATATTCTTTCACAGCAATAGCTACAGCATTGGGCTGTAATTCAGGAGAACCAGATTTTATTCTTGTCTCCATTGGTAACCTGCTTCCTTGGGCCTAATGTCCCTACCTGCAAAAAACCCCCAACCAACCCAGACCTTTGCAAATCACTTTGATATCTAATAATGAACACACTGCAGAAAATAATAAGACAGACAGTACAGTATTTAAAAAAATAGTTCATTGCATCTGGTAGGTCTATTTTGGGGGTAAGATATAGGACAAGGGAGTAGGGTTAAAGACCAATCTCATTTAATCACATGGTACATCATTATGTACTGTATTCCAAGCCTATCAATGAGGATTAATTAATTCAGGGTATTAATAGACTGGGTAACCCCTTAACACTTGGAGATTACAGCATCTCTGTTTCTCAACAGGGGAACAAAGAACACATTATCTAAGATTAAAATATACAGGCCATTATAGTGTGTGTGTGTGTGTGTGTGTGTGTGTGTGCGTGCGCGCGCGCACACGCATGCGCACACTCACTCAATGGCCTGTATATTTTAATAATAGGTAATATGTGTGTGTATGTATAAACAGTTAGAAAGGTATCTATATATAAAACACCCCTGGATGGTCTATTAACCAAAAAGTGGAACTGCAATAAAAAAGGCTATTCATAAGCAAGACAAAGCAACTAATATAGCTTAGACTAAAAGAATTAAAGCCTTCATATATGTATTCAGTATCACCTAGCAGGGCAACACAGAAGTCAGGCTTCCTGTATCCTTGGTCAGCCACCCAGTGACTACACTATATTAATCAAATTACATTAACCAGAAATTACATTGGGGCGGGGGGGGGGGCGGCAATTTTCTATCAAATAGATGGAAAGATGGTGAAAGATTTTTCAACC